CCTCATCCTATCCATTGATTGCTAAAGTCCTCCTCTGCAGAGATAACCTTTAGAAAAGCCTTCCCATGAGTCCCAAAATCTTCACTTCTTTGGTGCCACAGAGCGGTCTATCCACGTCCTATTCCTCATGCCTTCTTGTCTCCTTCCAACTCCCTGACCACGCAGCCAAACAATTGGCCACAGCCCAGGAATCAGTGTATAACTGCACATTTCACTATTTCTCCTTCCGAGCAAAAGCAAGCAAGTAGGTGCCTGTGGCAGTGACATAATCTCCTATCAACTTGTGAAGGGGTGAAGCCTAGCCTGTCAATCACGTCGCAGCTTGATGACCTCATTTGGAGGTGCGAAGGAGGTAAATAGCTCACTGGAGGCCAGATACACACTCTCTGCTTCCTTTTTCTGCTGACAATCCACATGGAGTTACACTGATCAAGCCAAAGCCCAGGAGCTGGAGAAGCCACGTGGAGACCCACACCAGTACTGAGATGCTTCCACCACCACTGGATCTACAAGACTTCCTACCCACTGGCCTGTGATCTTCCCGAATTCTTCATCATTGCATGTGTTGTGTGAGTCTGAAGAGGAATTTATAGACTGATATAGGACATATGGGTTACTATTGGACTCATGGACTTGATCTACACTGGGCTGGGATGTTTTCTAAATATACAATTGCTCTTGTGTGTAAAGCTCTTCCTTAGACACACGAGGGTCTCTGGATTTGTTTCTCTAGTCCACCCGGACTAACACAGTGCCACTGTAGATCTGCCTATATGGAGGATTCCCCTGCCCTATTGCCTTTAGGGAGGTCCCAGCAAGGGGCAGCAATGTTGCCACCGTCCCCTTTACCTGTTTTGCTGCCTCAGTCAACTGATGGTAAGGGGCTCCCCAAGAGCTCACAGGTGCAGACAGGGAGGAGGAGGCAGTGTGATAGGGGTAGGACCCTGGGCATTTGGCCTACTTCCTCGAGTAACTTGTGCCTGTACATCCAGCTTGGGCTTGATCTCATATTTATCACTTCTACTTAAGGAGGGGGTGCTGCTGTGCATGCCGGACTCTATGACCCTGTGGGTCAGGCAGTGTCCACTTCATGATGGGCAGCTCTGTTGCATGGTGACGGTGCCATAGTTAAGCATTGTTTCTATTAAGGCCTAGCAACGAGCCCAGAGCTGTTTCTCAAAAGGAGATAGTTATCTGCAGAGGAAAGCAAGACTTTGCTCCAAAATCCTTAGGATCTGCCTTGTGAGTCACCAGCAGAGGCCTACTAAAGACTCCAAGCGACGTTATCTACCAGCCACTGACACATCCAGCGCCGTTGGATCAAACGGAGCATATGCCCCAAGTGGCAGAACAGCTTGCACGGAGTCAGAACCTGTTACAGAGACTTCTCTGCTTCTGCGCCCCCCTCAAAACTAGCAGCTTTTAAAATCACTCGATAAAGAAAGAGGCTGAAGTGGCAAGCACACTCCCAAAACATGTTGTCTCCAAAATCCAAAGAGGCCTCCCAAGTGCTGTGCCTCCTTTTTAGTTGTAGCTGGAGCCAGATGCAAGGAATATCTCAACATGCCCCACACCATGGACCCTTTGTCATTTCATGGAGGTAGATGGTGGCTGCATTTTTGTCAGAATAATTTCTCACTCCCTAACATACAAATGTCTCATGAGAAAGTCCATAGAACCATTGACACTAAGTCTAATCAGCATAATGCCATCAATATACTGGATCATCTTGTATGTTAGTAGGATGACAGAGCTGGAGAACTGATAACAGCAGCTGCAAATGCAGTCACCACCTGGTTAAGTTTAGGATAATTCACCGTCATTGTCAAGATCCATCTGTTTATGTTTGTTTTGCACAGGCCAAATGAGCAAGCTGACTGGGGATGGGGGTGGGGAGGTGTTTCACCATTGCCTCCTTCAAGTCCTTGTTGGTGGCATTAATTGGAAATGTGGTATTGTTTTCCGTTTACGCTTTCCTAGGTAGAGGCAGCTCTGATGGCTTCCAGGTGGCTTCTCCCACCACAGTAGCCCTCACCCCACATGACAGGGAGCCAATGCAAGAGCTGTTTCTGCCAGTTGCCGAGTAGGCCCCTTCCAAGTACACATTCCAGACTGAGAAAACCACTACAGGTTGCGTTCAGAGACCCACTGTGAGACAGACCCGAGCTAAGACCCTACGAATAACCTGACGTCCACTGTGGACCAGCGACATTTTGGGTCTCTTAGAATTTGTGTCAGTTCAGGGCCAGGCTCTTGTAAAAGGGACTATTTCCTTACTGGCATTTACTTGACCTAGAATTCTTCTGCTATTTCAGCTCAAGTAAATATTTAGTGGGTTTCCCTTCTATCTCATTCCTAGGAATACCATCCTAAGCCAATGCCATGTGAATCCCGCTACTCTGGTTGTTTTGACTCTGCTATCATGGCAACTACATATACCTGTCTTTGGTGCTGAATCCCTGTCACTTGGCCCCTGTACCACAGAGTCCAATTGGTTTCAATATGGTAGGGGTCTGAATCCAGTTGAGGCAGTTCCCACATAAAATAGCAGTCACGGCAGTCTTCAAGGATGTTGGCGCTTCGTTCACAAATCTGCTCCTCACTGCTGTCATAAAAGGTGTAGCCTCTGGGTGTGCCACAGGTAGGTCTGTGGGCCCAACATGATAAATCCACTCTAACATGATTTTCCCTAAGTCACCTTCTACACACACCCAGGCAGGTCTGGTACTTCATGTGAAGATTTAGTGTACGTCACCATTTAATCCAAGATTCAGTGAGCCAGTCAAATAAATCTCATCCTTTTTACATCTCTGGAGCTGAAACATTATCCTTCAATTCCTCCTTCCCATGAGCTGTCAGGTAAGCATCAGGCTGCTAGCTTTAAGGTCAGTGGTTCAAACACACTAGATGCTCTAGTGGAGAGACACAGCTGTCTGTTCTTGTAAAGATTTATAGCCTCGAAAACCCCATATAAGGGGGCTATACGTCAGAATCAACTTGATGGCAGTGAGTTTGGTTTTGAGGGGTGGGTGAGAAAAAGTAGAAGGAGGAAGAGAGACTGAGATTGATTTACTGCAAAGAAATAGCTCATGAAGTTGTGGAGGCTGGCAAGTCCCAACTCTGTGGGTCAGATGCCAGAATGAAGGCTTCTCCTGACTTAATGTGGTTTTAGGAGCTGAAGAACTCAAAATTGGCAGGTTAGACAGCAGGCTAGGGGCGCATCCCGAAACCCACAGGCCAGAAGATGACCATTTGGATGTAGGATCAAGAGAGAGGTTTACCAGAACATCCAACTATAAGAGATGCACAGGCCATATTCCCATGTAAACCAAATGATTTTCAACAGATTGGTTGCTCACATCAAGATCACAAAATGGAGGATGATCACATCCTATCACATTATGGGAGGGAATCCGACAAGGTCTGCCAAACCACTGAGAACCACAGTCCAGTCAAGGTGCCATAGAGCATAGCCATCACAAGCAGAAACATGCACTAATTCAAGTTTCTACATGTAATTGCGCTGATTACACTCTCTGACTTATACAAGTGCCCTCACAGCTTCTGAGTCGTCCCTCCTCTGTGAACATGAACTCTCAGCCGGCCTGCTGATCTATCTACCTATCTATCATCTATCTATCTACCTACCTACCTACCTACCTATCTATCATCTGTCTGCCTGCCTATCTATCTATCTATCTATCTATCTATCTATCTATCTATC